TTTGTGTCGGCGTCTTGCTCCTGCATGCCCCGGGATTAGACCATGCAATGTCATCTCTCTCGATCTATCTGTACATAGTCTGCCACCGATATTCACAGTCGACACAATGCACCCGAATGTCTCTTATCTATTCACTTGTTAATAATTTTTTCTACTTTCATAAAGTATTCCCCAACAGTTGTTGCTAGTTATTCTCTTGTCCGGGTATTCTATACAATATTCACTTTAAACACCGCAGCTGCGTTTCCTGCGAGCTCTTTCTAACATGTTCCTTCACATCCGAAGATTCACTGTAACTTCACGAAGAAGAAAACTTGACTTTTCAGTGCTCTGTTTCTGTTTGCCAACCCATGAGTTATCCATATGTGTTTGCTGAAATTGTCAGAGCAACAACAAACATAATTGCAATCCGACGCTTAAGGTTGCAAATTTGTAATCCTGCGCCGCAGATACCACTTTCAATGAATATTTGTCTTATTATATGCCTAGAAAACAACTATTGATTGTATCTAATGTATATGTCTTGGATATTATGAAAACACTTAGACATTGTCAAATATCGAAATATCGGTTAGTATAGCTTTAGGCATGTTTTCGGCTGCAGCCGTGCAATTCCCAGGTAAGTAATGGAGATTAATCTATCAAATGTAAGCTTGCAGGACGGTAATTTCTCGACAGTAAACACTTCACTCGGTATATTGATAAAACAGTTTTGTTATCTTTCGGATGTTGTTTCCTTTTTATGTATTGATAGACGATTAACACCCCCGCACCCCCCCCCCCCTTTTTCCCCCCACAAAAAATGTTTTTACTTTGTCAAATTTGGACAAAATTACTGTCATAACTAGAACAGTTTTTAAAATCGACGTAAATTCTCAGTAAAATGCAGAAATTACAGTTGTTAGAAAACTTTAAAGTTACTGATTTGCACTTACAGGAAACGAAGAAATGTGCGATATGCGATAAGCATGACTGGTAGTTTAACTAACTAGATAACTAGCTGAAGAAAGAAGCAGCCATTAGAAGCGTCTCTATGACAACAGCTTTCCTGTGTTATACCGATTGGTTACTTGTCAACCAATGTAAACGCGGCCCATCTCACAATTATCAGTGCTAGAACTGACGTGTGTTGATTGTCCCAGGGATGAAATGCATTACTGTGTAGCTTATTTAGGGTACACCGAAACTTGATCTAATTTTATACTCCACTATATCTTCGTTTCTATTCTGACAGACAGCTCCATTTGTGTGAGGTTAACTCTGCAGTTGCGTAGTGTTTTATGAGTTTCTGAAAGTGCTAGTTGGGTCTCTTTTTTTGGTCTCACACCCTGACAGCTTTCACGCTGACAGCTCACACCCTGACAGCTCACACCCCAACAGCTCACACCCCGACAGCTCACACCCTGACAGCTCACACCCAGACAGCTCACTCCCTGACAGCTCACACCCTGACAGCTCACACCCTGACAGCTCACACCCTGACAGCTCACACCCTGACATCTCACACCCTGGTGCGTCTTGCTGCTAAAGGTTCTCCATCTCTACTTAATTGTTCTCCGAACATTTCCCCAACCAGGATTATCTTTTTGTAGCAGCCTCGTTGAACATCCATACAATGATTACGATTGTTGGTAATGATACAGTGTCTGATCTCCATGGTAACGCCCCAACGCGAGGGTATAAACACGATCAGTTTATCCCCGAGGACATCTACGTCAGCACGTGGGCCAGAAGACTCGTGGAGATCTACCTAGATTTGACCTTCAGCTTTATCTTGGCCTTCGTTGGAGTCATCACCAACATTCTCGTCATTATGGTATTCACCAAGCAAAAGTTCAGGGATAGCGTCGCCGTATCCATGACAACCATTGCCATCTGGGATTTCGTAAAGTGTTTAGGCTGCGCCATGCAACGGTTGTCAGGCCCTATCAGTTTATGTGAGCCAGCGGCCGCCGAGAGCTGGTCAAATATCTCCATTGTTGCTTTCACTTACTTGTCTTGTTTCTCCACGTACGTGTCCACCGTCTTAGCGGCTTACGTGGCCATTGAGAGATGCTTGTGTGTCAGCATCCCCTTCAAAGTCAGATGGTTGATCACGCCTAGAAGTTCTTTCATTATCTGCACCGCCATTTCTGTTTTCGTTTTCGGATGGTTTGCTGTAGTCTATTGTATGTACGATATTATCTGGGTGTACAGCCACCACTATAACCAAACTATCGCCATCTATGTCAACAGCGAGTTCTTCCATCAACACAAACAGCCGGTGTTCCTTTATTACAACCTCTCCGGGATTATCTGGCCCGTGGTGTGTTTCATCATCATCGTCGCCTCGACTGTTGTCATCATCTACCATCTCCGAAAGTCATCCAACTTCCGGTCGATGAGCACACAGGCGCAATGCCAGCAGTCCCAGAAACCGTCGGGTAAGCTAGAGTTCTCAAGTCTAAGCGCTCTGAAGTTGTCTATCGTAAAGGCTACAAAGGAAAGAAACATATCTCAGCCGACAGTAGTATTAGTGATAGTAGTAGTAATAGCAGGGATAGGAGTGGTAGTAGGAATAATAGCAGCAGTATCAATAGTAACATTAGTGTTAAAATAATATTTGTGTTAAAATAACTGTACTTGTAGCAGCAGCTACAAAGACAGCAAAATTAGAAGTAGTAGTAGCAGCAGCAGCAATAGAGGTAGCAACAGTGGCAGCAGCAGCAGCAGTAATAACCATAGTAGCGGCTTGGGATAGGGTTGAGCCACAGTAGTAGTAGTAGTAGTAGTAGTAGTAGCAGCAGCAGCAGCAGCAGCAGCAGCAGCAGCAGTAGTAGTAGTAGTAGTAGCAGCAGCAGCAGTAGTTTGTAGTAGTAGTAGTAGTAGTAGTAGTAGTAGTAGTAGTAGTAGTAGTAGTAGTAGCAGTAGCTGCTGCTGCAGCAGCAATTGCAGCAAATACTAGTAGTTGTTTTTGATGTTGTTTTAAGCACAAATGTAACGTTTCATAATTGCTATAAATGTAACCGGACATATATTTCCAGAAAACCCCATGTCGGGCAGAGAAAGACAAGTGGTCAAGATGCTGCTGGTCATCATTGTGGTCTACGTCATCAGCCTGTCCCCTAGGATCGTCCACTACACTGTCAAGTACTTTGTCTACGAGTTCTACTTCCTGCGACGCTATCACAACCTATTCCTAGTGATGGCTTACATCCTCAAAGTGTTTGACTTGGCGAATGGATGCAGCAATTTGTTCGTCTTTCTGGTCATGAGTTCATCGTTCAGAGCCACGTTTACAGAATTGTTTCCCTTTTGCTACAGCTCCAGTCGGAAAAGTGATAAACAGACTCAGTTGGAAACTTCCAGTAAAAAAAGTAACATTTCTGTCGTAAACAGTAAAAGACACGTTTTCACAAAATGATGTGTTATTCGTGCTTGCTCCATTTGTTTACACTAATTTGATGTGGTAAAAAATATAACTCCGGTGCCCCTAGTTTTCAGGAAATTTCCTGATTCTAATTTGATTCTGAGCTGATGGTGCGTGTATGACACAATGGAAGGACATTTTCGAGGTCAGTGAGAACGTATTGAACTGCTGTCAGCCTGTACTGGTGTGAGTTAGGTACGTTTAGACAATGACCGAACAATAAACATCTCGACAGTTGGAGGTTGTGAAGAGTTGTTATTGTTGTGTTATATTTATGTCCGACAGTCTGTTTGTGCAAGCAACCATGATTGCGGCTAGACGCTAGCCTGCGGATCTCAAGGTCGTGGATTCATTTTCTAACAGAACCTGACTTTATTTTTCTCCTCTTTAAAAATGAACATGGTTCCAAGGTCCACCCAGCCCTGAGTTGGTACGATGTGTAAGTCCCGGAAAGTAAAGGAGGCCGATGTGGTGCTGACTACATCACCCACCGACTGGTGTATAAAATATAGGTCTAGCCCCATATGCCTAAATGCGAGCGCCTGAATACTTTACTACTTCTGTTTTCACTGATTGATTCATGGGGATTAAACCTGACGTGAATCGCATGTAAGTAAGTAAAGTTTAATAAAGTAAAGATCCCTTTCACGCCTTTCGGCGCATCGGACATATGGGAAGAGCACCCATATTTTTACAGATCAATCAGCACTCGGTCGGTAATGTGGTCAGCATTACGCCGGCCGTCTCTACTTCCCCAGGTAAACTGTGTGTGAGAGACATACAGAACGAGAGAGCGAGAGCGATAGAGAGAGAGAGAGAGAGAGAGAGAGAGAGAGGTCGACCCATTTGAGGCTGGGTCGACCTGCGACGTCCCATACCACGATAAAAATCCACGCAGCCAGCAGTGGGTTTCGATCGCGGTACGTTGGATTACGAGTCGGACTCGCAACGCCTAAGCCACGGACGCCGCAACGCGAATTGCATGTAATCTGATATATTCAGTTTTTCCATGTTGTTGTCTGTTTTGTACATATATGTTAAAAGACACACCCGTCAATATTAAAACAAAAATACAAAGAAAATGAAAATACCTGTTGGCAACCCATTAAAGACACTCGACGCCATCACGGAATGGCACTAGCCAGGGGCAGCCGGCGTGCACTGGATAGCAAATTGTTCCTTCCTACTTAAAAGTCAACTAATTATGCGTGTTTCCTTTAAGGTCCCAGTGCATCTGCAGGAGAGGTTATCAATCAACAGTCTGCATAAAAATAAGACAGATCTGTAAAACGCATGTGCTCGCAAAATTCAAGTTCTGAAACACGACTAAGGTCCAGAAGTGGACGAGCAACACAACTTTCCCTGGAATTTACAGTCGGTGAACGCCAAGAAAAAGAAGAATGATTGGCTGTAATTCAGACACACACACGCACACACACACAACACACACGCGTGTGCGCTCACAGACACACAACGGGGCAACAATAAAAATACACGAGGACACGTTATATAGATCACAAGACGACAAAGAAGAATATATCAAGGCTTAGCATTTTTAGAGGAATGTATAATTCATAACTAAAACATGTAACTAAACTTTTAATGTATATCTCGGGGAGGCAAAGCGGGTGCCCTTCAACTTCTGCTCAACGGCGGCGTCCACCATCTCACTTTGGGCAACGGTCAGCCAGTTCTTCCAGTCCCCCACTTGACCTGTGAGAGATTCACACACAACTGGTGACAGGTCACAGGCGCCGGAGGTAGAAACGTTTCAGTCCCACAGTCAGACGGACAGACAGACACAGAGAAAACAGATAGTATATGATCATAGATAAAGAAATACACACAAAGAGAGGGACTGATATAGAGAGAGAGCGTGATAAAGATAGAAAAAGAAGTACACAGACACACTAAGAGAAAAGGAGAGTGACAGAAAGAAAAACAAAAAACATACAGTCAAACACACGATCAGAGAGAGAAACTGAGACAGAGAGAAACAGTGATGGATAAAATGACAGAGAGAGTTTCTGACAGAGAGATAATGTGAGAAAGAAAAAGTGAGGGGGGGGGGGGGAGGAGACGGGTAAGTTGAAAAAGAGATAAAAGCACGGCGAAACAAAGAGATAAACTGTGTGTGAGAGACATACAGAATGAGAGAGCGAGAGCGAGAGAGAGAGAGAGAGAGAGAGAGAGAGAGAGAGAGAGAGAGAGAGAGAGAGAGAGAGAGAGAGAGAGGAGTGCAAGAGAGCGTGGGCGAGAGAGCAAGGTCACCTTTTCTCAAATATCTGTCAGAAAAATAATTGTTTCTGTGGTAGACATCCTTCATGGAGCTGAAGCTGCCCGCCTGGGCAATCTCCTCCACCTGCTGGTCTGTGAGAGGGACGTCAATGAAAGCCGCCAGTCTCCTGATCTCTCTGGGCAGATCCTTGAGAAAACACATGCCAACATGTGTAATTATGGCTTTCTTTTCTAGCAAATCGGCATTTCTGTATTTCCTATTGCCTTTTTAATAACGCCTTTGCCGATTATCTATCTATCTATCTATCTATCTATCTATCTATCTATCTATCTATCTATCTATCTATCTATCTATCTATCTATCTATCTATCTATCTATCTATCTATCTATCTATCTATCTATCTATCTATCTGTCTGTCTGTCTGTCTGTCTGTCTGTCTGTCTGTCTGTCTGTCTGTCTGTCTGTCTGTCTGTCTGTCTGTCTGTCTGTCTGTCTGTCCGTCCGTCCGTCCGTCCGTCCGTCCGTCCGTCCGTCCGTCCGTCCGTCCGTCCGTCCGTCCGTCCGTCCGTCCGTCCGTCCGTCCGTCCGTCCGTCCGTCCGTCCGTCCCTCCCTCCCTCCCTCCCTCCCTCCCTCCCTCCCTCCCTCCCTCCATCCATCCATCCATCCATCCATCCATCCATCCATCCATCCATCCATCCATCCATCCATCCATCCATCCATCCATCCATCCATCCATCCATCCATCCATCCATCCATCCATCCATCCATCTATCTATCTATCTATCTATCTATCTATCTATCTATCTATCTATCTATCTATCTATCTATCTATCTATCTATCTATCTATCTATCTATCTATCTATCTATCTATCTATCTATCTATCTATCTACTATCTGTCTATCTGTCTATCTGTCTATCTGTCTCTCCGTCTGTCTGTCTGTCTGTCTGTCGGTCGGTCGGTCGGTCGGTCGGTCGGTCGGTCGGTCGGTCGGTCGGTCGGTCGGTCGGTCGGTCGGTCTGTCTGTCAAAATGAAAACACCAAAAAGAAAAAGAAGAAAGACATGCCCGAACCTCCTTCATGTCCTCGTACGTCACAATTAATATCGGCTGGTCTGTGTTGTTTCTGATGTCCTCATCCCATTCCTTGTAGTAATCAAAGAAGGAACCGAGATCCACTGAAAAAGTTTCTTTCATGTGAAAGGTAAATCTTGAAATGTGATAGTTGTGGAATGTTATTTTGGATTGCTCTGTTGAATTGCAGTAGATCTTAGAATCTGATAGTTCTGGAATGTTATACTGGGTTGTTCTGTTGTATAGTGGTAAATGTTAGAATGTGATAATTCTGGAATGTTATACTGGATTGTTATGTTGTACAGTGGTAAATGTTAGAATATGACAAATTAGAAAGAGTCTGCCAAGGCAGCGGAAATGTGATGATGATAACTGTAACATTATCAGCTTGTTGTGTATAGAGACGGCCATGGCAAATCAACGATCGGCTAGCGGATTAACAGGGTGATGAGAACACAATGGACAAATAAAAGTAGTAAAGATTTCTTGAAAGAATGGGATAATTGGATGGGATACAAGGATAACTGGATAGGATACAAGGATAATTGGATAGGATACAAGTGGCTGGAGAACGCCAACGACTGCTGTTCAGGAGCTTGACGATATTGGTTTGTTTGGCAGGAACAGCTATTAGTTTTAGAAATTAACGCGAAGAAACCTAGCCAGGGATTAGTTAATAAAAGACCTTGCTTAGCTTTTTAGCAGTCTATTTGGTTGTCGCTCTGTGGTCGGCTCAGTATGGTCAATCGCCCTTTCTGCCGTTGTTTGACTGCACTTAGTCTCAACACACAGGTGTGTCAGATCGGACCGGCCGAGCGACGCTAAACTGGCTCGTGTTCGCGATAATGGTACCTTTCATTTGTTTAGGTGGTGTTAGATTTGATTTCCATTTGGCACCCTCGATAGGAGATAGTTTGATGGAAGGTCGCTATTACTGATTTATTGGTCTGGTGGCATATTGAAACTTAACGTACATGTTAAACATGTTTCGGTTTTTGCCATTGTTGAGGTAATCTCGCTGAACGTATGGTGTCACTATCATATTTCCTTGTTAGCTGGAGATGATTGCTTTAGATTCTTTTCGAGGTTGGTTGTTGTTAATGTATTATTCGTGAAGTATACGTTAATTCCGTGTTCAGTTCAGTAAAATAAACAGCTGTTTAATGTAGCGATTATAATCCATTTGCTTTATTTACTTTAGGATCTGTAGTCCGTGCACAAGGTTCGTCTAGGTGTATGTAGCCACGTGGTTAGGTTGTCGTCATGTAACCCACGATACAGATATTCTTCGTCTGAGTGAAATATTAAAGGATCTCTGCGCAGAAGAACCCATGTCTTTTCTTTACTTTCCTGTTTTTGCTGTTTAATCACAATTTTCCTAATCTCTCACAATTCTGTGTTTTTCCTGCTTCTTTCTTCACGCTAACACACAAGGATAATTGAGCGCCAGCATTAGAAGACGATTATCTATCTTCTGTGGGCCCCCCAAGAATGCGGGACAGTAGTCGTTCATAAAAAAGGGAAAGTTGGAAGGAAGGAAAGGCACAAAGTTATCAAAGAAGAAGATGCTGGACAGCTGGACATCGAGGCTTGTAACAACATCTGCATCAGAGACGAGGCAGAAGGTCGAGAATGGGCTCGATGACCATCAGGGGGTGGAGTGCAAGAAAAAGATGACCAATAGTCTAGGTTAAACTAACGAATGAAAAACAAACGAACGAACGAACAAACTTTATTTTCACAAGTTCAACACGCAGGCCTGTGTAACGTATGGCACTTCCAAGCACTTATCTTTCTGACTGTTATGTACAAATAACAATATAATTTGTTTTTTCCTTTTCTTTCTTTTTTTTCTCTAGTACTGTTTTGTCTTTCAGCGTCAGATTTTGAAGAAGCATCAGGTGAGAGCTTTGTTATGTACTACGTAGATCCTGGTATTTACGGTTTCGGATATTCCATCTATCCATGGCTCGCGTGGTCGTCCTCTGGTTCTCCATTAGGTTAAACTGTCAGGGCCTCTCTGTGGTGAACTATCTGGTGGTAATCTTGACACATGTCCAAACCATTTGATCTGTTGTCTCCTAATATAGTTTAATACTGGTTAATTCCCACCTTCTTTACCGATGACAATAACCATTCCGATTCATTTTGAGAAAAAAATTAAAAGGTCGACCACCTTCAGACTGCTGCTAGCTAGCCGAGGCTGCTAACAGTCTCCGCCTATATTTGTGGTTTGGGTTATTTGCGTCACTTCCGGGACAAAATTCTAGTATTTGCGCCGTTTCTGGGCTTGATGCTTCCTTCCGATTCAGACCGCTTGTCTTCCACCCTGTTGTTAGTTGTGTATGTCTTTCCTCTTCTTACTTGGTGTTTCAACAATATCCATGATATGAACATCTATTTATGCCTAGCATAGTTCTTACCAAGAGGCAATACGCATCAAATTGTGAAGGTCACATACCTTGACCTTTCATGAATAAAGAGAAGAAGCCGTTGAAGGTTCCAGTGTAGGTCCTCGGTTCTGGCATAGCCGCGTGGTGATGGAAGAATGAAACCACGGTGTCCTTGGGGTTTCTGAAGGTCAGTATTGTCTTCGTTTGTTTCTCTTTCATCTGCTTGTAAAGAAAACAACAGACAGATGTACAGACAGAAGTACAGACAGAAGTACAGACAGAAATACAGACAGAGGTACAGACAGAAGTACAGACAGAAGTGTAGACAGAAGAACAGACAGAAGTACATATAGAAGTACAGACAGAAGTATAGACAGAAGTACAGACAGAAGTACAGACAGAAGTATAGACAGATGTACAGACAGAAGTACAGACAGAAGTATAGACAGATGTACAGACAGAAGTACAGACAGAATTATAGACAGAAATACAGACAGAAGTACAGACAGAAGTACAGACAGAAGTGCAGACAGAAGAACAGACAGAAGTACAGATAGAAGTACAGACAGAAGTATAGACAGAAGTACAGACAGAAGTACAGACAGAAGTACAGACAGAAGTTTAGTCAGATGTACAGACAGAAGTACAGACAGAAGTATAGACAGATGTACAGACAGATGTACAGACAAAAGTATAGACAGATGTACAGACAGAAGTACAGACAGAAGTATAGACAGATGTACAGACGGAATGAGAACCGCGTAAAATCTAATGGTATTCATCGTCATCATCATTTGTATTCCACACATTGTGGTCCTTGAAGTTCTCAGTCAATTATTCATATCCTTCTTTTTCTCCTCCTCCTACTTTTTCTACAACTGGCTATTAAAAACTGGCAAGTTGTGGTTTACAGCTGGGCTGTGACATCTGAGCCTTTTGATCAAACACATCCGATTTAAGCAAAGCTCTAATTAGTCGCCTTTTACAACATGTTTTATTTGTATCTTCAGTTTGTAGTAGTAGTAGACTTTTACCCCACCAGGACATCACACAAGCGATAAACACCCGATGACACAAAGTGCCACAATGTGGATGAGGATCACCGTGGAGAGGTCCCAGAAACCGCGTTAAGCCATTTGACCATATCTATGGTCAGGCTATATTGCGGCCGCTGGCAAGAGCCAGGGTGGGGCTTCAAATAACGAGAAATTGTATCCCACAAAGAGATGACTAAATGTTATCTTCAATGAGTTTACTGATCTATAGGTCTGAGGTATTTGTGTGAGACTTGAGTTACAACCCGAGTCTGTTATCTGTGAGGCTTCCTTATCTTAGAGTTTGCTGTTTGTATTCTGTGTATTCTGTGTGCATTCGTCTATTCTTGACATATTGTAGAATGTCAGTATTTGTTTTCTCATTAATTCACAGTATTCTACTAGTGTGGTGTGACATCACATTTAGAAAATGCCCTGAATGAGTTTTAGAAGTTTTTCTCCCTGGACGAACCTGTTTTGGGAGATATCGAAACCAGAGGTGAGAGTTGAGAATACGTCTGGACTGGACGCTGTTTAACAAATGTGGCGTGGTCATCTCCATGAAACACAGAAGCTTGCCCGTTTTTGTGTGGACGGCTCGGCCACTGATGATCATAGAGAGCACCTCCCAGGTCCAGTGACAACCTAACGGAAGGAAACAATGGATAGATCAGTTTATTTTAGGGCTGGTAAGTAAATGCGTCAGCTGGACCTACTGTCATAACAGTTACCACGTCAGGGTGTGACCTTTCCCGCCTTTACATATAAAAGACATACACTGCTTGAGTGGCCAGATTTATTCGCCGTCCCATTTCTTCCTAGACAACCCCATATAATTCCAGCTACCACTTGTCCGATACTGCAGAGAAACGATATTATCAAGTCAATGCGCAGCACTTACCGCAGAAACGAAGATGACAAAGGGAATGACTCATCATCCACGCCTAGGCTGAAGGACATAGGGTTGCGACCAGAAGCAGCAAGAAATTAACATTTCACCAAGGAAACACAATGTGTGATTAATGAACACAGAACAGGCCTTATCGGCAGTTTTACAATTATGGAGTTTTTTAGAAGTAGATCAGAACACCTACGGATCCGTCCGGAATGCTGTGGTGGTGGTACTCACTAATCACAACTCCCGAAAATTACTGTGTGTCAGAATTTTATATGAGTATTTGTGTGGCTGTGGGCGGGATGTTTACTTTGATATCAAGTCGCCACTGACCACCAGATCGCTGGTGTGAGAGAATTGAGTCCCGGCGGAAATTGAGCCTGTTTTTCATAGCAGCTAGGAGAGGACTGCTGTGTATAGTCTAGGCCTTTGAATTTTAGAGTTGTTATTGTGTTAGTTCCTAGCAAGCTGTTTTTGCCACGTTGCATGGATGGAAAGTTGTATCAGAAATGTCTGACAGTAGACAAGACAGAAGACATGACAATAGACAAGACAGTAGACCAGACAGTGGACCTGACAGTAGATTAGACAGTAGATCAGACAGTAGACCAGACAGTGTACTTTACTGTAGACCAGACAGTCGACAAGATAGTAGACCAGACAGTAGACATGACAGCAGACAAGAAAGTAGACCAGACAGTCGACAAGACAGTAGACAAGACAGTAGACCAGACAGTAGACCAAACAGTAGACAAGACAGTAGACCAGACAGTAGACCAGACAGTAGACAGACAGTAAGCTATGAACATAACAGTTTGGTATGAACAAATACGCTGACTGGTGCCACAAACAAGGGCTTTTAAGAAGAAACGCGGTGAATTAGACAGTGTTGTAGACAGGTTGTGTTTGCTTCCACCACGAACAAGACAGTGCGTGTATCAAACAAATGGGACTAGAAAGTCGAGGCATGTCAAATACTGTCAATAGGCCATTTTAGCGCTGTCTGTAGTGTGAGGGTTCTGACATGTGTGACACTCTCATCGTCAGCATCATCATCATCATCATCGTCGTCGTCATCATCGCCATCATCATCGTCATCATCATCATGTACGCAGTCATGAGCGGGTAGGGGATGTGTGCCCATGAAGTTCCTGTTGAACACATTTTTTTCGTTACCTTTTCTGCCGAATAGATTTGCATAAATCTTTTGTAGACAATAAAATCAGTTAGTGTTGCAAAAACGATCAGTTACATTACCTGTCTTAGGATAGCCGGCTAAAATGATGTCATCGTCCCGAAGAGCCACATCTCGGACTCGCCTGTAGTGTTCCTGGCCAAATGGAGCCACATACCTGCCGTCGAGCTGACCCAGTTTCAGAGAAGATCCATTCTGGTCGTCAATGATGAGCTCAGGACGACAGTTCTGGATCACTTGCTCTATCATCGTCTAGAAACACAGGAATGGAATTGCTTCGAGTCAGCTTTGCGTGGAAACGTCATTTCGATATCTACAGTCTCCATATCTTCGACTTGCATGTTGACTTCTAATGTAAGAAGAGACTAGAAGTTGTCTATGCGTCAGTTCGAGGAATTGATATTTGTACTTCATTGTATGTTGGTAGTCTAGGGAAAATATCAAGTATGTATCAGCTCATAGAACCAATCACAATGAACAAACAAAGGAGGTTGTTTATTGCCAGTGGTGCTGTGAAGCTGACACATCCAATATTTCATTCTTCTATTGTGTCTTTATATGTCACCTAGGGCTCGCACTCCTTGTGGTCCGGGTTCACGCCCGGGGGTAGGCAGAAAAGCCACATTTCTTCCAGATTTACGGTACCTATCATGGAATCAAGGCCGAAGGGTTGCGATATCCATAGTACCGAGCCAAGGGGTTTACAACTCACGGTTTCTGGATAAATTGAAAAACACACACACAATAACCGCTCCGAATCTATACTTCCATTCCGTTGTATGCTGTGCAACCACTTCGATATCATGGATGGAACCCAGTCCAGCAGTTTTGGCTTCTCTTGTCCACGTTCAGTTAAGGGTTATCTTGGACGTCCTTGTTTCCTCAGTCCCTCAGTTTCCCATTAAGCAAAGAACAACACCCAATACAATAACAGCCAGATTCGTCACCACAATTATAACCGAATCGGTAGGGGGAGTAACTCTTCCAAGAACCTTGGTTGAACCTGTTCATTGAAAGGCAATCGGAATCGGAAATGCCCGGTTTTTGATTATCTGTTCACAACTTCTGAGAACATAGCGCTATTCTCTCTCTCTCTCTCTCTCTCTCTCTCTCTCTCTCTCTCTCTCTCTCTCTCTCTCTCTCTCTCTCTCTCTCTCTCTCTCTCTCTCTCTCTCTCTCTCTCTCTCTCTCTCTAAAACTGTTGATAACCGTGGTTTTCCAGGGATTTTGTGATTAGTTTTCAGCCAAAAAATTGTGCACACTGGCCATGGACTTCAGCACAGCGGCTTTATCCCATAACCGTCATACCAGCACTCTGTGCTTGACGCACTGGTTTGTTTACCGGAATGGCTTCATGTCCTGCAAATTTAGCAAATTATTATTATTATTATTTGCAGGGTGAAAGAAGCAGCGACACGCCCATCGCTCCTCCTTTCTCATGCCAACCCAGAACCGGCAGTGACAATACCTCAGAATGAAAGCTCAGACATACTGGATATTTTCCCTATCTTCTCTTTAGACTTGTATAGCCTTACTACAGTCACCTCATATCCATCAGATGTCGAAGTAGCAAAATACAACACTTCCAGATGTGCAAAATATTGTTTGTTCTCGTTGTTGAGTTTCACAACCGATAAAACATTGTCTGAGCTTTTAAAAACGTGTTTGCTGATAGAAAAGTTTTTAAAAAAAACTGCAAGTGAAAGATTAATCATCAAAACTGTAAAATATTTGTACTAAAGCAATACCTGAAACTCGGCCATGTTAGGATCGCACATCAGACTTTTGATAATCGTAGATGTCTGGTCGCGTTGTTTACTTTACATAGTTGCAGACTAGAGCAAAAGGGCGGGCACTCTTGCAGAAATGTTACACTTCCTGACATTCACGACCTGACCTTGAGTACGCGGAGTTCAAGGCTAGATGTATTTGTTCAATGTGTATATAGCTTTTATACTTATGCATAGAAGAAAACTGTGTCATGGCTTACCTTCTTGTGTGAAGTTAGCAGATACCAGTTGACTCATGATCACACGCTATAATGCGACATAAAGAAGACCTACACACAAATGATTGCCTTGTCACGTAATTTAGGGCACAGTTTGAGACTTAAGCCAGGAATATTGTGTGTAAACATAATCAAATGCCTAACCATCCAACCTGGCGATTCCGTGTGCCGAGTAGTTAACATATGATGCCTTGTCTATCCATGCAGTGTTCTTTTTCCCTTTCATACTTTGTCATTTGATGTTGCAAAACTATTTAACCGACATCCCAAATTCCCTCTATAATCACAAGTACCGGAAAGCACCATTGTTCCACATCACGTGATGTGCTCGGTATGTGGCTGTAGTCCCATCTTTTGACCCAGCCGGCACGCTGTGGCTTGTGTCCGTATCAATGGCAGTCTCTTTGGCTTTACAGAACATTTCCTTGTTGGTATGATACGCTGCCTGCACACAGAGCGGTGCCATGTTCGGATCTTATAGTGCACCCATCTATCTACTATCAGGTCTGAAGAAATGGATTTAGTAACCAGGCGATCTGGCCGGCCACCAACACTCAAGGGAAAGGCGAGACGAGCATAAAGTAGACTGCTGGCCAGTAACACCGCAGCTGGGGACGTGGCGTCTACAGGAGGGTCCCAATTGTTGTGTGATGTCAGCTCTTAGCTTAGTTCCTTTGTAATTATCATTGCACTGGACAACAGATTCACATCAGTGTATCCATAACATCTTCAAAGATTCTTTCAGTTATGTCAAACATCACAAATAAAGTAATGTCAGTAAAATTTGGGACCCTTTCACACTTCGCTTGTAACTGGTATGCAGGGCTAGTTCCTGATGATTCTTGGTGAGTCAGTGCGAGGTGGGGGATGGTGTAAATACCAGACTGGCCATCTTTTTAATCGCCGTCAGATGCCTGGTACCCACTTTTATTCTAAGCCCGCCAAAAAACGGAGGTCAGCAGATCGAATAGGATTTGCACACATGAACCAGCACATCTGAAAATCACTACGTTGTGGCCCTCAAGCACACATTATGCTGTCCGCAAAATAAAAACTTGACTGTATACAGCACCGACAGCGAAACAAACCGCTATTATGTGGATACTGAAAGGATGTACGCCAACACATAATGTCTATGGACTGCGTGAACCAAAATTCAAACAAATGATTGAATAAAAATTGTGTCCAATTTCCATATTTGGTGTGGTGAGATAGATGGCAAACCTTGCTGATGGTGCATGTTTGTTTAATGGGAGTGGATCAAAGTAGGCATGTTTCTCAACAGCAAGCCGTCGCCACTTGAGATAGCAAGTTACAATGCCCAGGTGCCTATCACTTTCAAATGATGCGTGAAATGTAAAATGGTGTCTTTAATTTATGTTCATTCCAAATACTTCTGTCAGTGCTAATCAATATCCTTGGGCTCCTATTCCCAGTGTATCCTATTCCCAGGTTATATTTAACTCAGGCGCGCACACGCACACGCACACACACACACACACACACACACACACACACATACACTCACTTGCGCAAGCACAAAGCAAATTCAGTGTCACATTTATTACAGTGACAATGTATCGAAGAAACTATTCGCATTTCAGTTGAATTTATTCAGTTGTGTGCTTTATTTTATGTTGATGTAACTCTATAGTAACGCACCTGGTGCGATACAGCCAAATATGCCTGGCAATAAATTGTGCGATGTATTATTTGTGTTCGCATTATTTAAATTCATATTTATGTGTCATTACACCCCCCCCCCTCCCCGGCACCCCCCCCCCCTAACCAACACACAATCATTTCCCAACTCTCCACCCCAGTATCACTATATTTAAAAAAAATCATACACATACACTCATCTCTACCTTATCAAGCTGAAGAAAATGTTGAGCCTCTAGCAAGGCTAAATATAATGTTTGACCGCTAACAATGTATGATCAAATAATGTTTCTAACAGACAATTATACAAGAATACACAGACTAATAGAAATTTCCCGTAGTCAGATGTTTGTCATGATAATTTAAACACACTTCATTTGGTGGGAAGTTGACGGATGGAATAATTGAGCATTCGAATAAAACAACCGAGGGGTTGAACAAATACAACCCAAACACTTGGAAAAACGAGAGACTAAGATAAGCAATGTGTCTGACTACATTTACACACGAGTTGTCCAACATTGATTTTTACGACACCGCGTTGTCGTTAAGAGTTTGGCTTTGTTTATACAATAATTAATAATTAATAATTACAGTTGATTCATCTTTCGCAATTATTTAGTCAACATTGTGCTCCTGTACAAAATAATGGCGGTGGTTTATTTACCGATTGTACAAATGAAAACATAATTTACACCACATGTATCCTCATATACACGCACATACACACATACTCGTACACACACAAACACACGTACACACATGGTTTGTGCGGGAAAACCACAAAGTGAATACTTGTTTTAAAAATTGGCGTAATTTTAGTTATTGCAAATGTAGCTATTTCGATGTCCACTTAACACCTGCTAAACGGTTATGCAACCCCCCCCCCACCCCCCCCCCCCCCCCCCCCCCACTTTTTTCCTTTATTTTACATACTTTGATGCCTCTTATTTTAATAAGTTCAAGCTCTGATAAAAGCCAGAAACACATGTCGTGCTTTGAAATTCTGTAGAGCAACAACAGAAAGAAAAAAGACCTTACAAAGACACCATCTTTGATTTTGTACTTTTTAACCTAAAAACTATAAAGAATGCTTTACCCCCACTTCCATCCACCACCTTTAACCCATCTTGTCCTCTCCTGCTCCTAGGCAGTAGATCAGGTGTCTAGACTGCTAAAATAAGTCTAACAAACTAGTTAAATCTCTACGTCCATAACAATTCCTTGCAATTGGAAATGGCAACGATTCAATCTTTCTGTCTAAGTTACTTTTAAAAAGTGGAAAACCCATCTACAAAATAATTTTAAATAGATATATTTAGATTTTCATCCGAATAAGAGGTTTGTGTACTGGTGTAAGATTCATTTTGCCTGATCTACGACAGGTGTGTGTGTGTGTGTGTATGTGTATATGTGTGTGTGTGTATATATATATATATATATATATATATATATATATACACACACACACACACGTAGTCACTCCGGAATTTTCATCAATGACACGGTCGCACTGAAGCATCAGATGGATTTGGACCAGCTTTGTGAAATTTGTATTTTATAACTGATACGTTTTAATTTACCACTAACAATGTGCGCTTTATCTGGCACAACCACTGAAAACTGGCACAAAAGTAGCACAACTCTGGGCGAGTTTGTCCCGCCTGAAATCTACGTGAGCACTGAAGTGAGGAAAATCGCAGAAATTGTCATCGACTTAACACTCTGTTTCATAATCTCTTATCTCGGTGTGGTCACTAATATTTTGGTTATAGCCGTCTTTATCAAGCAGAAGTTCAAGGACAGCGTGTCTGTCTCCATGACCTTCATTTCTCTATGGGACTTGATCAAATGTTTGGGATGTGCCATTCAGAGGCTGCACGGCCCCATGCGACCTTTCTCACCAGCTGCGGCTGAAAGCTGGGCCAACATTTCTATTGTGGTCTTTAACTACCTGACCTGTTTCTCAACCTACGTGAGCAGTGTCCTGGCCGCATACGTAGCCGTAGAACGGTGCTTGTGTGTCAGCATTCCCTTCAAAGTCAGATGGCTGATCACTCCGAAATGCTCTTTTATGATCTGCTTTTTAATTTCCGTTGTGGTCTTTGGCTGCTTCTCGATCATGTATTGTATCTATGATGTCATCTGGGTGTACAGTGCCGCCTACAACAGCACCATTGCCATCTATCTCAACAATCGCTTCTTCTACAACAACAGGGAGCCGGTGTTTCTCTATTACAACCTGTCCGGTATCATCTGGCCAGCGGTCAGTTTTGTGGTCATCCTTGTCTGCACGTTCCTCATTGTTTTCCACCTCAGAAAGTCTTCAACGTTTCGGGCAAGGACACTAAAGCTGAGACATCAGAAGCAACACTTCTCAGGTAGGGATTTGTGGTTGCTCTAGAGGTGGCATCGGAAAAAAACTAAAAGAAAAAAAAAAGAAAAAGAAGCAGGAGAAGAAGAAGAAGAAGAAGAAGAAGAAGAAGAAGAAGAAGAAGAAGAAGAAGAAGAAGAAGAAGAAGAAGAAGAAGAAGAAGAAGAAGAAGAAGAAGAAGAAGAAGAAGAAGAAGAAGAAGAAGAAGAAGAAGAAGAAGAAGACGAAGAAGAAGAAGGAGAAAGAGAAGAAGAAGAAGAAGAAGAAGAAGAAGAAGAAGAAGAAGAAGAAGAAGAAGAAGAAGAAGAAGAAGAAGAAGAAGAAGAAGAAGAAGAAGAAGAAGAAGAAGAAGAAGAAGAAGAAGAAGAAGAAGAAGAAGAAATTAACTAACACTCAGGCTTTATATTTTTTTTAAAAATTGTTTCAACAGCGCATCAAATTTAAATATTTATTATTAAATTGTGTTAATTTTTTTTTAATTATTAAAATATGTCACTGCGGTAGATATTTTGCGTTATATGTTTGTTGCAATCTTCTTTCTAAATGTAACCTTGCAGTTATATTTGTTGAAGCAGAATCGTGCTGCCAAAATGACTATTTAATAATAATATGGCCAGCTGGCAACTTTATGTATTATTTATTGAGTGCAAAACTCTGGTATAACTGTCAGCATTACTTTCTCCTCAGACTCGCCTCAGCAAAGTTCGGGAGCCAACAAACCACAACTCTCCCCCAGGGACAGACAGATCGTCAAAATGTTGCTTGTCATCATCATCATCTACGTGATCAGTCTGTCTCCCAGAATCGCCCATTACATGGCCAAATACTTCATCTACGAGTTTTACTTTCTCAGAAAATACCACAACCTGTTCATTCTCATGACCTATGTTTTGAACATTTTCGACCTAACTAACGGAGCCGTCAACTTGTTTGTGTTTCTGGCTATGAGTTCATCTTTTAGACAGACGTTCACAGAAATGTTTTCTTGTTTGTGCAAAAAAGTCCAGGATGTTTCCAAGCTTCGAAATGTCAAGGTCGGCTGTCACAAGTCGGAAATGTAACACCACGCTACAAGACACTGGGGGCATAAAAATAATGTATGGAATAGAAGGGGGTGCCAACGTTGGACTTAAATAGAAGAAGATAAACAGATACTGGGCTAAAACAATCTGGATTATAAAGTTTATACTGAAATATGAAAGATACGGGACTAGACCAACGAACAAATAAGATGTTATGTAGAACGCATAAGCTCCGAACATGCATACTCACCGCACCTTAGGTGTGAATAGATAGAACCTAACTTAAGTAGTTCCACGAAAAGATAACACTCAAACGAAAAGAGCAATTAGTAAACCTTTCATCATCACAAATACAGAAAGCCTTCATCAGCACAGTACATGAATTTACACTGCCACAAATACAAACAAGTATACACAAAATAACTGAATGATCTCGGAGATAAAACTCCATGTCTGTATGTGCACTTGAAGCTCTGATACGCCTGTGAAACAAAATTTAAGTACCTATTCTTTCTTAATGTTTGTTGCCCTGTTGTTAATTACTCAGTCAGTCAGTCAATCAGTCAGTCAGTCAGTCGACTAGCCAGTTAGTCGTCACATTATCCTTGCGGGACCTACCCTAGGGACCTACTTTAGAACCATTCCTCAGTCGATTCCTAATCTCGCAGCGACTGTCAACGTTACTTCTGTTCTGGTCCTTGAGTTGGCGCCCCGCGATTTGTTGAACAATATTTTGAAAAATCTGCTCAGCCGGAGATGACCTCTCCACCCATCTCAGAACCGCCTAAAATGAAATCAGCTTCGAAGCTAACAAACGAATTACGGTCATAATGTCTGAATGGAAAATAAAGATAGCTATGAGCTAGATTTATTGTTCTTACTTGAAGCTGACTGGTGCCCCTGCATGTATGGCTTCAATAGTCAAGAACACAAACAGGAAATATGAGAGACCAAACTGGCCAGTGCACCTGCATGTATGGCTTCAATAGTCAAGAACACAAACAGGGAATATGAGAAACCAAACTGGCCAGTGCACCTGCATGTATGGCTTCAATAGTCAAGAACACAAACAGAAAATATGAGAGACCAAACTGGCCAGTGCACCTGCATATATGGCTTCAATAGTCAAGAACACAAACAGGAAATATGAGAGACCAAACTGGCCAGGTGAGGTGAAAGAGGGAGATATAATTGTACGATTTTTACGATTATATTCTGGTGCCGACTGGTTTCGCAGATGCACTCATTTAGGTCTGTGATGAAGAAGGAAGAAGAGAAGGAAGAGGAGGGGGAGAAGGAAGAGGAGGAGAAGAATAAGCTGAAGATGGAGATGGAGATGAAGGGAATGGAAGGCATACGGGTTACATGGTAGAATTAGATAACAAAGCAGTATAGATAAGACAGCCCAGTGAAAAATACCCCATTAGTCCCATCATTGTTGTGCATTGCTGTATCCCTTAGGCATTAACAAAAGCATTAAGCCAGACGGCTTGTTAGACACAAATTAGAGGTTGCCCACAATCATCTACCCCCCAAGTGCTGTCAACAGCGACAATCGGGTCATAATTGCAGACATTCCTAATGTTTGCTGATTTGGCATAAATACTTGATTACATTGTTAGGGGCTTGCATTTTACATTACATTGAATTCATTAACAATCAAAGATAGATTGGCGGCTAATTATCTCTCCTGGATACATTACTGTCCTGGGTTCAAAACCAAAAAAAACTAAATAACATATATACCTTCTCCCCATCTTCCTCGACAGTTCGCTTTCTCCCCCCGCCCCCTCCCACTTTCTCTGTTGCGCGCTCATTTTGTCAGTGCTTCTATCCCAACTCTTCTCTCTGTCTCTCCCTCTTGTCTCTGCTATCTCTCTCTTCTCCCTCTCTCTTTCTCCCCTCTCATCCCATCAATTCTCCGCCCCCTACCCCTTCCCCGTAGAATCTCCCTCTTAGATAACAAGCAGACAACATGTGGACCAAGTTCCCCCCGAAACGCTGTCACCCAGATATTTGGCCCTGTTCTGACAGATCTACAACTGCAGCAAATATTACAAAACGATAAGGACAACAATTGCTGCACCCAAACACCCCATGTATGAATACAATCATGCGTTTGCGTTTCTTCTGTCCCAGCCACAAGTACAAGTACGTCTTTTTCCACATCCACCACCAACTGCTTGAATCGGTCAAAACGACGAACTAATGCAACTGTAACCGTTTCACTACATAACTGCGTTCTATTACAGCGGAGACGTAATCTGGTCACTTGGCTTAGCTTCAGAGCGTACAAAAAGACAAGATATCCTGAAATGGACGACTTTAAGGTAACGTTTATTAGTTACTGTAACTGTTGTTATTATGTATTACAGTATTTATTCTTTGCCGTTGTGTAAGGTATTCTCAGGAGCTGAGGTGGTTTAGTAGCTAGCTCCCTCACCTGCAGGTCTCGTGGTCACGTGTTCAATGACTCAGGCTTACTTGACCCGTCTGGTCGGCCCAGCTATATATGGAATACACACCCGGACAAATATGAAGGGAAACATAGAGACAGGAACAGGGTGATGCAGATGATGATCATGAAAGAGAAGAAAACGTGTGGGGAGAAAAAAGAAGACGGTGATGATAATGATGATGAAAACGATGATGATAACGATGATGACGATGATTGTGACACAGAGTGTTACCTTACTTCAGTCAAACTAACTTCAAACTATTTACTAATAATACAAAATACGAATAATACACACTTCCACTATAAACGCCAATTAGTACCACATACATCATGGTCAACGCCACTGCTACGAGTTTCAGCGGTGACTAAAGTGTGAACCTGTTTTAGTTCGAGATTAGGTGTCATAGTTTCGGGTTGGCTAATTTAACCGCACTGTTTCTGGTCAGATTCTTAGTAGTAGCCCCACCACCACCCCCCCCCCCCAACCCACAAACAGTAGTGATTTAAAATTGATAACGGGAAATTTCAAGGGAAGAAAAGACGTCAGGTGTCATATTGACCACATCACCAGATGGAGCATTCAAATATTTGGTCAGCACCATATGGCAATTTTTGCCTCAAAACACTACAATGGGAACTTGGGACCTAGTGCAGTTCTAGGATCTTGTATAGTTCTGGGACATTGTTTAGTTGTCTGACCTTGTATAATTCTGGGAGCTTGTATAGTTCTTTGACTTTGTATAATTCTGGGACCTTGTGTAGTTCTCTGACCTTGTATAGTTCTCTGACCTTGTATAGTTTTGGGACCTTGTATAGTTTTCTGCTCTTTATAGTTCGGTGACCTTTTATAGTGCTGGTACCTTGTACAGTTATCTGACCTTGTATAGTTATGGGAACTTGTATAGTTCTGGGACCTTGTAATGTTCTGGTAACTTGTATAATTATAGGACCTTGTATGGTTCTGGGACCTTGTATAGTTCTGGTAACTTATATAGTTTTGGGACCTTGTATAGTTCTGGGACCTTGTATAGTTCTTGTAACTTGTATAGTTTTGGGACCTTGTATAGTTCTGGGACCTTGTATAATTCTCTGATCTTGTATAGTTATGGGACCTTGTATAGTTCTGGGACTTAATATAATTCTTGGACCTTGTATAGTTATGGGACCTTGTATAGTTCTGGGACTTTATATAATTCTTGGACCTTGTATAGTAATATGACCTTGTATAGCCCCGGGACTTTGCATAGTTCTGGGAATTTGTACAGTCCTGGGATCTTGTCCTTTGCGTGGTTCTGGAACCTGAGAAAATATTTCGGAAGAAAAAAAAAATCTTTGTATGGCAGAAATCGTTCGTCCCACTTCAGTATGCTATAGCCTGTAGTTCTAGTAGTCCTTGGCCTTTCACATTCTTGTAGAACTTTCCACAAGTGAAACTTTTAGTTTTTTTCCTGGATGACAAAACTACCTGACCTCCAGGCGATGCTGGGACCTTTGCGACTAGGCCCTCTGAACACACCCTCCTCCCTCCTCCTCATAACATCCAGTTAGAAAAAGTAAGAAGTCGATGCAGCGCACACGCGCTATTAATGTCTTGACATTGCCTTGTAAGTACTTGTGTATACATTTCACATTAAGTGTAATACACTACGATATGTCCTCGCTATTCAAAACATATATTTTACTATTTTTTGGTGTGCACTTAAAAAAAAAAAAAAAAAAAACTCAACCCTCTCGAACCTACTTCCCCTAAATTAGTAGTTTCCACCCCCCCCCCCTTTTTTGTTGTTGGAGTATACGGCAAAAGTCCCAGGCCGTCCACCCCAGCCCCCGACACAACAAAATGTGTTTGAAAAGAGGAGGGCAACAAGACATACTGCAAGCACTATTAACAGGAACTCTGGAGAAAAACATCAAAATAAACAAATTTTCACATATAAAAAGAAACAGTCATCAGAATTTGGCAACATATAAGTGTGGTGGTAGACACTGTTTCCTCTTGATGATACCTGCTGCTTTCTGTCGATGTTGGACAAGGCACAGTAGAGATCACTTTCCCCATTAAGCTGGCAGCGCTGTTTTGTTTTCATGACTGTTAAGCTGAAAATGATGATTATTTAAAAAAAAAAAAAAACATAATTTCAAAATGTGTTGACGCCCCTACCCACCCACCCACCCAGAGACTTTCTCACCTCCCCTCCCCCCAGTGGCTCACCTTTGGGTTTCAGACCACTTCTCGATATACCTGGTGAGGGGGGTTAAGCCGCCGCCCCCCCCCCCCCACACACCCCCAATCCTTCTATTTCAATGTTTTTCGTGAGGTGGCGCCTCCACTCACCAGGTATACTTTCCCTCTCCAACAGACATTATTAATGCAAGAATTTGTTAGATTCAAACCTGACGTCTACATGGATGATGGTCACGGCTCAACGTTGAAGCTTGGGCTCTTCAATGGCAGATACGTGTCCCCTTTTGGCGAGGAGAACTACCGTAGGGTCAAGGACATACCTCTTAGAGACGACGACATATTTTTAATTGGATACCCTAAAACTGGTATGTTATAACTGTTTTCATTGGATACCCCAAAACTGGTATGTTATAACTGTATTCATTGGATACCCTAAAACTGGTATGTTATAACTGTTTTCATTGGATACCCTAAAACTGGTATGTTATCATTCTGATTGATAAGGTAAAGCCAGATCGTTATCTCGATGTTATTGGACATTCTTAAGCCAGTATGTTATCCTGAATTTAATTAACTGGTCTCTGCTTTTAATTCCTAGATCGCATACAAGTATGAATATTATATTGGACCCATCCAAAAGAAAAGTTTAATTCTAAACTCCCGACTTGCTGTGGGTTCAAACAGAAGACCGGTAGATCGGCAGGTGTGGCGTCTAACCACTGTGTTAACATAGGGTTCTATCTAAGTATTCTTCTTCGTTCTTCTTCGTCTGCTCTTTATTAACCATTGGAGCATAGGCCAACTCCCACCAAGCCATCGTATCCTATCGCATGCACCTCGCTGGATATTACTTCTTGCTCTTTTAGACTTGTCCATGACTGGTTGGTTTTTGTGGTTATGGTGCTTTACAGGATGAGGCAGCCAACGCCAAGGCCAACCCTACCCAACCCGCCTCCTATGACATGCTTGGTATGATGCAGTGTTACTATGCTTTGGTTCAATATCAGACAAATAATTATAGAAACCACTAAATCAAAAGTGCACCCCAGAAGAAGACGGAGTGAAGACATTACAAATCTTATCTACACGGAATGACGACAGCCACTGTCAACCTTCTCTCACCAGGCCACAGATTGTTGCTCCAGCACACGCTTGACTGCAGAGGTGGAAGATGATAATTATCGTTGTCTTCTTCTTATTCCTCAGCATCCAAGCCCTTGAGGTTCATTGCTGCAGATATCACCCCCCTCCATTATTTGTGTTTGGTCCTCTCTCTCTCTTCTGGTAGTGACACGAAGTGTTTGTAGGTCTGTCTGGATCGTCTTCTTTGTCTGCCTCGTGGTCTATGACCATTCAGGTTCCTTGTGTACATAGTGTTTACTTCTCTGTCATCTGACATTCTCTCAATATGCCCCAGCCATTTCAATCGGTTAGTTCTCATGATGATGATGAGATGATGATGATAATTATGATGATGTTGATGATGATGATGATGATGACGATAAAATTTGCCGTTGGAAGTAGTTGTGTGGTGGAAAAATTTGACCAAGTTCAACCTTGCTGAAGATAAAGCAGATGCCCGTTTTTTGTAGTCAGTGTACATCATTAATTATTCTGATATTACCCAAATCTGATTTATAACCTAGTATATCTAGATATGCACTGACCCAGCTGTCTGTTTTCCCCCTAAGGTTGCCACTGGACCTGGGAAGTGCTCTCGATGATTGTCAGGGGCCGGGGTGAGCACTCAACGACCGGCAAGTTGGCCTGCTTCATGGAAATGGCCCCACCAGCAATGAGGGACAGCGTCCAGACCCGACGTATTCTCAATTCTCACGTCTTGTTTGAAGATCTTCCAGCGCAGGTTGCTCCAGTTTCCTTCATCTCCTATTTTTGTTCTTTAAATTGTCACTGTAGCTTGCTGTTGTATCTCCCACGAGAAATGCGCTTCAACGGAATGATTGGCACCAACATAATGGTAGGAACGAAAATTAACATTATAAGGCAAGCCAGACGGAGTCACAGTTCGGGACAAAGTTCTCACAGTTTTTAGAGTGAACCCGGCTCACCGAGTGCCAAAACTGCTAGCCTGTAAACTTTGTGGCAATACGTTTGAATCCCCACTATTCCATATTTTCACAATTGACATTGGCTGATCTGCCAAGCAGACCACGTCTAAAAACAATAAGAAGAAATTCCATGTGAAGTAAAAGTTACCTGCAGGGCATAGACAAAATCACTAATTAGGCTTAACTAGCTTGAAAAATAATGCTTGCCTTCCTAGCATAAAGACTGGCTTTGAACTTTCAAATTTTTTTTTAAACACATCATTTGACGATATCAGCAAGACTTTGACCACCAAACTCCATGCTGGCTTTATTCTTTCTCGTTCTATTTTTATCCAGATGAAAGAGAAGAAAACAAAGATAATATTGACATTCAGAAATCCTAAAGATACCTTGGTCTCTTTCTACCACCACCACACTTCCCTGCCTGACGTGTGGAATTACGCGGGAGAGTTTCAGAACTTTTTCCCGCTCTTTATTAAAGGACAAGGTATGTGGCTTTAATATTTTCACATTTGGTTCATGGGACTCCGTTGCATAACAAGGGGAAAGGTTGATTACTGTGTTCCTACAACACTACAATGTTACATTTGGTAACATGACATGGTTGCATAACAAGGTGAAAGGTTAATTACTGTGTTCTTACCATAATGTATCACTGTTAAGATTGCATATGTGGGGATGGGGGGGGGGGGGGTGCAAATAACAATCTTAATATAAATTACAAATACCATGCCATTGTCAATATTGTTGTTAAGGATGTCAAGAGCGTTAATCATGTGACATCCCAGTGCAGACGAATACGGCGAGGTAATAAAACAATTTAAGAATGGCCGCCCCACTTTTGACCTGCACCAAAGAGGAACAACATTCTGTTCTCAGTGTGTATAACCTGTAGAGATGCATCGGCAAATGAAGATACAGTATATTTACACGTGTTTGCCAGTGCAGCAAGTTTGTGAGTGGAGCAGGAAGGTTCACAATGGCCTGACTTCTGTGACTTATGTGTACCTGACCTGGTCGTGAATAGTCTGCTGGGGCGGCTTGCATGTTGTGTCGAGGTTACAGCTAGGCTGCGATATATGTGCCTCTCGGCCCAGCATATCCGAACTCAACAAAGCCTTAATTAGACGCTTTTTTACGACATCCTTAGCTCCTTACAAACTGGGAGACGAGCGGGCTGTGCTCCACAAAAGAAAAAAAAAAGGGGGGGGAGGGGGTTGGCAAGTTCCACTCACCTAGGAGCAAGTGTACCTCGAGGCATGACCAGATAGTGTCCGTTGGATAGCTTGCGGTATCTTATAATAGGAGTGACGAGTTAGGAGTGACGAGTTAGGAGTGACGAGTTAGGAGTGACGAGATAGGAGTGACGAGATAGGAGTGAGGAATTAAGAGTGATGAGTTAGGAGTGAGGAGTTAGGAGTGACGAGTTAGGAGTGACGAGTTAGGAGTGACGAGTTAGGAGTGACGAGTTAGGAGTGAGGAGTTAGGAGTGACGAGTTAGGAGTGACGAGTTAGAAGTGGTCAGTTAGGAGAACGACTTGTTTTTAAGTATGTTAAACTTGCATATATATGTGAGCGAGGAGGGTGCGAGAGAGAGAGAGAGAGAGAGAGAGAGAGAGAGAGAGAGAGAGAGAGAGAGAGAGAGAGAGAGAGAGAGAGAGAGAGACAATTACCTATTTGTCCTAAACACTGTCACGTACGTTCCAGTCTCAACAGTTATTAATCATTAGCCTGTGCCATACAATTGACGTGTCGTTTGTTTGACATGTTTAGACAATCACATTTCTCGTGTCAGTAATTGAAGCTGTGTCAGTCTAAAACAGGTCTGATTAAAACAAAACATTCTGTCTGGCTTATATTAACTTATTAATACATTATCTAGGTCAGTGTTTTTTTTTAAACATTTTGTCATCATCGTCGTCGTAAATATCATCATCATCATCATCATCATTATCATCCTCATTATCATCCCCATACTCATCATCACCATCATCAACTTTCACCGTTGCCTTTAAGTGTCGTTAAAAGGAACTGTTTGCAATGCGGCACTGAGAGTATAGATCTGGCTTTTGTCATTATGTGTGAACGTTCAGTGTCTTTAATGTCATCTATCCGTTTTGTGCTTCTGCGCCCTCTTTTTAAAACTATATATATTTATATACACACACACACATACACACATATACATTAATATTAGTATTGTTAAAACTATAATTATTATTATTTAAAAAATATTATAGTTTACGTACCTTCTATATCCAGTGACCTTTCATTCCTTCCTTTTTTTCTCCCCCCGCTGTGAACTCCAGCGCAATGTTCTGATTATTCGTCAACATGTAAATTTTATTCTGTGCCGGAATTCGAGCTTCGCTTGCACATCCGTTTTACAGATCTGGCTACTTCTCAAGCAGACCATCGCTTCCTAGCCTCTCAAGTTGTGTTTGGAAGGATTGCTTATGTAGATTCACCTGTTCTAAAATGGGAGACAATTTGTGTGTCTGTGTGTGTGTATATATATCTATATATATAAAAATCAATGTTTGTGTGTTTGTTTCCCCCCTATAGACTCGGAAACTACTGAACCGATTTAGCTGAAAATTTCAGGATATGTTTGTTGTGATACCGGATTTTGAACCGTCGTGGTTTAAAATTCAACCCGTCACTGTTAGAGATAGGTGACCACAATTAATGCTAAAATATACGCAACTAATATTTATAACTTTAGAGATTTCTAATTATAGCCACGTTAGTAATTGCGCATGCGCCGTATTTACCATTCGCCGGCGAGTTACGTGCAGCCAACGCCTTCTGTAATACTAATACATAGAGTAGGTCGTGGTACAGCAAACAGACTATCTCTATATTTGACAAATACAATAAACAAGATTTCTATATTTGTTTTTTTTTCCAACACTAGTCGATATTTTCATATTGCAAACAACTTCGATGGGGGGGGGGCTATCTGTTTTTTTTTTTTTTCAAAAACTACTTCGATGGGCGAGTGGGGGGGGGGGGGGGGGGCAATCGAGGACTATCTCGACGTCGGCGCAGACAGTGACTGCGACATTAACTTCATTAACCGTGTTAGACACGTGCGATTTCTATTTCATTAAAATATCAGGAGTATCTGTCTACGAGAAAACAATTGCCTGCGGTTTTCAATTGTTTTAATCGCGACACAGTGGTAGGGACACATATGTCTAATAGTTGTGTTCTCTTTTCGTTGATAAGTGGCTGCTTGGTCGAATGGTTAGAACACTGGGTTCAAGTGCGGTAGACCTGGGTTCGAATCCGCAAAAGTAAAATTTTTTTTTACCCCGGACTAAAAAAATATCCTCATCTGCTCTGTCGTGGTGACAGCACTAGCCATGTTGCCTTAATATTTAAAAAAAAAAAAAACATAAATGGGTAAACCATTTGATAATTAAATTTGACAATTTCGCATACTTATGGTTGCATTGTTAAACTTTCCGATTGCATGGTTACGCTGAAATTTTATAGATTTTCATTTATTTTCATTTAGATTTAGTTATTTCATCTGTGTTGGAATTTTAAGCTGTGCTGTTTACAATGGCGTTCATTTCCTAATTATGGTGTTTTTTTCCTGTGTTCATTTGCTTTTCAAGTGTTTTTTTTTCTCCCAACTACTGGGAAAGAGTTGTCGGTGAATTTTGGGGGGGGGGGGGCAAACTATTAACTGAGAGAGCTTTAAGTCACAGTAACTGCTTTACCCAGTGTGTAACAACTAATGACTTAAATTTTAGTAGGTCGAGGTACCGCAAACAAGACTATCTCTATATTTGCCACAATAACCATATTAAACACGATTTCTATTTTCTGTTTTCTTTTTCCAACAACCTTCGCGGGGGGGGGGGGCAATCAAGGACTATCTCGACGTCGGCGCAGACATTGACTGCGTCATTAACTTCATTAGACAGGTGCGATTTCCATTGTCTTTCTTTTCTAAAAACCTTTGATGAGGGAGAGGGTACTAGGTGGATATAGTTGTGGGGGGGGTGGGGGGGGGGATCAAAGACTATCTCAAATTACGCCACAGCAACGCGTGGCCGGGTACAGCTAGTATATATATATATATTAAAGCCGCACTTCGACAAGACCACTTTACCTTGTAACCTGCATCACGGACCCTAAAATAACTTACTGTTAAACGGGGTTTCTGGGACTCAACACCTGGTGAATACTCATCCGAATGGTGACACTTAGTGTGACCAGGTGTTAATCACTCGTTGTGCGGTCCAAGTGGAATTAACCGTCAACTCACTCGGGATCCCTTTGACTTCCTCTTGTAGAGAACATCATTGCCTGTTCATTCGGCTCGCGACACCATTGGAAGGCCATTTGGTCTTTATAAATACGGGTCTGTCACAACGGGCGCGCTGCCTGAACCGGGTTTTTAGCGGGTTTTAGCGCACTACCGCCTTCTGCTTATAAAACAATTGATTTCTTTTAACGAAACAAAATTATTTCAGTCGACAACAGCTCCTTCTTTGATTACTACAAGCAGTGGGACGAGGACATCAAGAAAAACCCAGACCAGCCGGTATTAGTTGTGTCGTATGAGGACATGAAGGAGGTTCGTGCATCTTTCTGTCGTGTGTTTGACATGTTTAGATAGTCAATTTCTCGGGTCACCAATTTAAATTGTGTCGGCCCAGTGGCCTCATGTTCGAATCCCCATAGAGGTGGGTTCTTTTTTTTTAAACTACAAGGCTAACGTCCACTCAGCGGAAGTAAAGGTGACCGGCGTGATACTGACTACATATAGTACGGAAATACCCCCACCGTTATGTAAAGGGCCTGCTGTTAACTAATGAATTTAATGGCTTTTTTCTGGACTTCCGAATCAACCTGATTTTTTAAATGGTTAGTTGCGTATCCTTTACAGGACGTTGCAGAACCAACCCCAGCAGCCCCTGGCTGTTGTGTTGTTTTTCTAGGCAAATTTACGTCCAGTAGTTTGCCATTGTTTCTGGACGGTCGGCTTTCTTGATACTACTGCCGAAACCAACGCAAGGCGCGTGGCCCGCAGCTGGGGTCGAACCCGGCATCCCGGCATTACGAAGCGTTCGCATCGACTTAGCCACAGGCCGACTATTTTTTAAATAGGATATGAATAATGCAGCATTTTCTTGATATTTCCCTAAGATACTTCCTAAAAAGATACGAACAATTTTGACATTTCTTGATTTTTTTCGGTAAAAATATTTGAAAAATTTTAATTTGAATTAATTTGTTTCTAAATATAAAAAAAAAGTACTAGAAATTCGTCTGGAGTTACTCTACACGACCTTTCTAAGAGATTCGAGGAAAGTTGGTGTTTCTTTATTGCATGCGACCAGACCTCCTTCCCCACATCCCTTAAGATTGGGACATGATTGACTATTACAGAAATCTGGTTGCAGGATCTGCCCAGAGAGATCAGGAGACTGGCGGCTTTCATTGACGTCCCTCTCACAGACCAGCAGGTAGAGGAGATTGCCCAGGCGGCCGGCTTCAGCTCCATGAAGGATGTCTACCAAAAGGGTGATAACTATTCCAGCATTTTCTTGAGAAAAGGTACTTTCAAAACTGCTCACACACACACACACACACACACACACACACACAAACACACAAATACACACACAGACACACACACAAACACAGACACACTCATTCACTCACACACATACACACACAGAGACACACACAGACACACGCACACAAACACACACAGACACACGCACACACACGCACACACATATTCTTTATATCTTCCCCAACTTACTCAGTGGAACTGTTAGCGGGTGGGGGAGGGGGGAGTATTTTTTCAATGTTCCATTTCCAGTGCATTGTATCCACATAAATAAATATGGCAAGAAACAAAGGCAGTCATGCTTCATTATCTCAGCTGAGCCTTAGAAACTCGGATCAGATCTATGTTCTTGTCTCACCTAAGCCATCAATATATCATTGTCTTTCCGTTGTTTGATTTCCTCCAGGATTGTCATTTATCACACATTTTGTCCTTAGTTTATTATATATCATAACATTTTCCTAAAATCCTACTGTTTACGTCAATCATTGACTGACTGACTTTCTACCCCACCAGAACATCACACAAGCGATAAACACCCGATGACACAAAGTGCCACCATGTGGATGAGGATCACCTTGGAGAGGTCCCAGAAACCGCGTTCAGCTCTTAGGACATATTTATTGCGGCCCCTGGCAAGAGCCAGAGTAGGGCTTCAAAAAACGAAAAATGTCATCCTTAAAAGGACGGCAAGTACTTACGTCAATTATTAATCAGTCTGCGGCTTTTATCTGTCTCCGGTAGGACTGCCTCTGTGTCGTCGCAATTCTCTTAATTGTTATCACAAACGATATTTCCACCGTTTTGTTTTTGCTTATTGCCATAACATAAAGCCACTAGTGGCCAATGGCCAACAATTTTTGTAAAGCGGATTGTTTACCTTTCACCTATTTCTATCAATCTCTCTAGTCGACCAGTCTAAAGTGGGCACAATGAAACTATCCTGGGAAGCGAAGACTGCCTGCGTGATGTTGACTATATCACAAATTTAGGTTTCCAAACATATCGGACTAGCGTCGTGTTGCCCGATGCCTGATAGAAAACTCTTTTTCTTTAAATGTACCCCTATAGTAGTTAGTTAGTTAGTTAGTTAGTTAGTTAGTTAGTTAGTTAGTTAGTTAGTCGACAGATTATCCTCATTGCACGTCGAAACACTCAGTCCATAAGTTCTCGGATCCCCTTCTCAGTAAATCCCGCAGCACGTAGCGGCTAACGACACCAGTTCTGTTTTGGTTTATTATTCTTTTTTGGCTACCCGAGTAGTGTTCTTATTTGGCGACATCCCATTTAACATGTTGTTCTTGCAGTCTGACAAAGGTTGCAGATTCACATTTCTCAGCTGGTTCACGGAAACGTCTTAACTCTGTTAGCGCATTCAGTATATCAGCCTGGTCCATGGCTTCTCCTGCTTTCGCAGAAGCCTCACCTACAAGTCTATCAGCTTGCTCGTTTCCTTGTACCCCTTGTCCTGGCACGAAAACTAGAATAATCCTTTTCAGCCGTGAAATCTGTAGAGCCACCAACCACTGCCTTCGGACCCAACCCTTCTCTATCTTCTTGAGTATACTCATCGAGTCAATGAAAAAGCATGCTCCAATGAAAGTCTGTGTCTCCAGCCATGTTACTGCTTTAGTCACAGCCACGACCACCATAGTCAGATTACTTGTAGCTACGGCAAAAGCTCTAGAATCTTCCTTTACAACTCTCCCTCCAAACTGAGCCGTGAAAGCCCACGAGCTTCTAACGTGGCGGATTACAGAACCATCTGTGTAAATGACAGCATCACCCTCTAGAGCGTTCTAAAAAATCAAGGCTTGAACTTCTGCTTCCACAGCAGCCGGACTCTGTTGTCTGCATTTTCTGTCTAGTTGGATGCAAACAGAAAAAGATGTACAGCACTCTGAAGGCACTTGCACCCACTCCTCGCCGGGTCCTATGTCCTCAAGTGAACACACCTGTAAAATAATGTCCTCGTCTTGGCCCATTTACGATTTGACTCTTTTAACCGTCTGCCTTTTATCTTCTTGATTTGACTATGTAATGGATGTTGTGTGTCCGCCTTGACTGTGAGGTAGGCACGAGCTCAGGAAATTTGGATTGTCTTCATTGGACGGAAAATCGAGAAGGTAGCACATAGCCCTGCATGCTGTATCTCTTGTACACCCAAGTATAATGCGCATAGCCTCGTTCTGTATCCTTTACATCCTTTCTATCTGCTTATGGCTGAGAGTCAGGGTCATTATTCAAAAATAGAAAGGACCAGACCCTGGTATAGAAGACATAGTTGACGCTGCTCACAGTTTGCCGCCGTCATCACTCTCATCGCAGCCAGACCCCGCTTGGCTTTTATTAAAATCCTATCTATGTGCTCAGTATAAGCAAGGGTTCGATCAAAATGTATCCCCGGGTATTTCATTGCATTCGTTCTTTCCATAGCCTCAGAACACAGACTAACAACTGGTGTTGGAGTTTTCACAATATGGTTATTCAAAGAGAACCATGTCACTGCCGCCTTCGTTGGGTTGACCAGTGCACCAGCTTCACCACACCAAGTGCTTATGCGATTGAGCTCTTTTTGTAGTTCTTCAGCAAACTCCTCTCTATCCTTACGCTGACGATACATTAACACATCGTCAGCCTTATAGTAGTATATATCCCAGTGAAACCCCCAGATGAGAGTGAATAGGGTATCACTGTTTAAATTACTGTGACTACTACCCATGATGGTGGTGGTGGTGGTGATGGTTACGGCGGCGGTGGCGGTAGTAGTAGTGACAGCAGCAGAATGGAGAGAAAGAGGAGAAGAAAAAAAGGTGGGGTAATTAGTGATATTAATAATGACTAAAATACTAAAGTAGTAGTAGTAGTCGTGGTAGTGGTACTCGTAGTGATAGTAGTGGCAGTATTAGTAGTGGCGGTAGTAGTAGTAGTAGAATTGGTGGTAGTAGTATTAGCGATAGCAGTAGTAGTAGCAGTAGTGGTGGTGGTGGTAGTGGTGGTAGTCGTAGTAGTGGTACAAGTCGTGATAGTAGTAGCAGTAGTAGTAGTGGCGGTAGTAGTAGTAGTAGTAGAATTGGTAGTAGTAGTAGTAGTGGTAGCAGTAGTGGTAGTAGTGGTGATGGTGGTGGTAGTAGTCGTAGTGGTAGTAGTAGTGGTGGTAGTAGTAGTTATCAGTGGTAGTAGTATTATTGGAAGTAGTATTGGTGGTAGTAGTATTAATGGTAATAGCAATAGTGGTGGTGGTAGTGGTGATAGTGGCGGCAGTGGTAATGATTACAGCAGTTATAGTAATAGTATTAGCAGAAACAGTAGCAATATTAGTATTAAACCTTTATGACGTGTCGCTGTTTGTGACGTGACGCGTGGTTTAAATGTTTATGTTGTTGAGTAGGGATCTTCCTTTCAACACATTCTCTCCACTAGATACACCGAACTAAAATCTGAGCTATGTTGCTCTCAGACAAAGTCCTGGATATCCAAGAAAACAGCTATATTGGCTCGTTAAGTATATTAACATTAGCTGAACTTGGTACCCACAAGAGAAGGCAAGGAATTTTAGATGTCTATCATACTTAATGTTAATGAATTATTAGACAGGGCAAGTGATTCCTCCGTCATCTACCTTCTCCCGGTGTTATTATGAATAATTAAAGAATTATTATATTATTTATTGAGCCCCCACCAAATGTTATTCTATCCTAACAGTTTAATTAAACATGTAAGAACAGACATTTGGAATTTAACAAACTATGTAGTTTAAAACTTGACATACAGCTTTATTTACTACAATGAAATTCCCAGTTTGTTGATTTACACAAACAGTGACTGGTTAATGAAAGTACTACGCTTCAGCGAGACAAACAGCTCGGGGTTTAGAGTGGAATGATAATGATGATAAAAGGTTAACATAAAGGGGTTAACTCAACTTATAAGCCTCTGACAGCCGTGAGGAACTGTCAAGCTTGTCCAACTCTTCCTTGCCTGTTGTCTGCCTGTTTCAGCTTATTCTCCACTTCATCCCCACCTCGTTCTCCACCTTGTTCTCCACCTCGTTCCCAGCTGGCCGAGTCTAACACAATGTAGGCTACTTCATGGACTGATCGTCACATGGGCGCTGTAATCATGGAAACAAAACACATACGTGTAGTATCTTGACTTACACTAAGAATACATGTATCAATTAATACAACATATAATAATAAGATATAGCCCATCACTCCTCCTCATATTCCACATCCTCTCCAGTCTAGTCTGAAGGTCTTTTGTCTTACATGGGCGTCACATATCCTGCCTTCCCTCAAATGCTATGTCATGATAGTTGACTTTCTAAGTCTGTTGTCCGTCTTCACTCAGACTTCGAGTTGGCTGACATAGATTTGACATAAACATGTGGCGCAGGTTAGGTGCTGAAAACGCAAACAATTTATATGTGCACGCTGTCCTGAATATTATCTTTCAGTGACAGTGAATTCTATATACACCCATCATTCTTCCCTGAGGTTATAAATCCCCTGTTCAGGTGAACACATTAAGTGAGCACATGGTGGGCACACAAAACGTAGCAACATCCCTGCACATATTTGGGCATCATTTCCCACAGTCCCAACTCATATTTTGGCTGATCGTGAAAACAATATAATTACATTTCATTATAGCAAATGTCATTGTTCGCATCTTATTTTATACACATGAAAACATACAATGAAAAACATGTGACACAAACATACAAGAAATAGGAATAGTTTAGCAGTTCCTTAACTTGAGATACTGAATACTCACAGAACTATTTCAAGCAGAATGTGCAGACAAATTAGGAAAAGGTAGTATAGACTAAGCTTAACTCCCTAACCTAAGTATACAAGATTAATAATAATATTCACCTGGGAACTTTTCCAGCAAATGCCGAACACGACTCAACCAGGGAGAAAGTACTTTTCAACGGTAGGTCTGAGTCTGTGGCCTGCTGGCGGCACTGAGGTAAATCTACGATGCCCGCAGTATAAGTATTAATCTATTGTCCAAATTACACTCCTCCCTTTCCTTAGTTTTTACCCAACCCTCAAGATGATGGCTTAAGCACCGCCCCTGAGGTAACTATCAGATCACTTGGCTAACCAGTGACCTGTCACTCACAGTGAACGGCCTACAGTACGACCTTGACCAAGATAAAACATTCCTAATTGCCAAACAGCTGTTCTCTCCAGAATTACACTGACGTGTTAAACTTTAAACTTCTCGTCGCCTCAATGTCTACAGTCCGCTCAATCTCTACAGTCTGGTCAGGAGATAACATTCTGACACTGGCGTGAGAATCCAACCTCACATCCCTAGTCTGAACCAGCGGGCTGTATTACGTAGTGTTAGGTAATTTTAAACAAAGCGCAGTGGCTTTGTCTGGGAGAAGGACTGGTAACATTTAAATCAATTTGGTTTAAAGTAATATTAGGGTAAAGGGCAGAGTAAATATAATCCTCTCTCTTTGGAACCAGAACAACTTATTACAACCAGAACAACTTATTACAAGTACTAACTTCTGGAATCACTGAGATCGTTTCGTGACACTGTTAGCAGTCTTTGTGAATCTCTTGCAGGTCAAGTGGGAGACTGGAAGAACTGGCTGACCATTGCCCAGAGTGAGATGGTGGACGCCGCTGTTGAACAGAAGTTGAAGGGCACCCGCTTTGCCTCTCCCAGATACACATTATAAATTCTGCACAAGCTACGTTTTATGTGTTTGTACAGTTCCTACTCATCTGCATATGGACTTCAATAAAAATTGCCCAGTTATATATTATAAATGTGTATGTTTTCTGCTTTAAATAAACCATCTCGGTTTGCAGTTTCTCAGTTAATACCATTTCACCCCCGTGTGCGTTCCGGGGTCCCCATTGTGAGGAAAACAAGAATAGACCCACTGCCTCCCCAAAAGCATGTCGTAAAAGTCGACTAATTGGGGAGCTTCCTTTGAAGTCGGAGTGCATCTGCCGGAGAGGCAAGGAACCAACAGTCTGTATTCAAGAGAATGAGATCTGTAAAACTGATGCACACGTAACACTCAGGTTCTGGAGCAGGACTGCAGTTCAGTAGTGGACGAGCAACCAGAACCTTCCGCCAGAGTTTACAGCTGGTGAACGCGAAGGAGAAGAAGAATACCATTTCAATGTGAACTTATATTTTCAACTTTTGATGCGATGTAGACTATTGGACAAAACTCCCGAACTAGACAAAAAATATCAGAAAATTACAAAACACTGTAGTAGAGAAGTCAAATTTCGTACTGACAAAACATCAGTAACAGATACTCAGCATTAAACAACAAGACAAACCAGCAGAAAAATACGTAGACAACAAGAAAAACGAGCAGAAAGATCTGCAGACAACAAGAAAAACCAGCAGAAATACCTGTACACAACAAGACAAACCAGCAAAAAGATCTACAGACAACAAAACAAACCAGCTGAAAGAGCTGTAGACAACAAAACAAACCAGCAGAAAGATATGTAGACAACAAGACAAACCAGCAGAAAGATCTGTAGACAATAAGACAAACCAGCAAAAAATTATGTAAACAAGACAAACAAGAAAAAGATCTGTAGACAACAAGACACACTAGCAAGAAGATGTGAAGACACCAAGAAAACCAGAAGAAAGATATGTAAACACCAAGAAAAATTATCAAACAGATCTGTAGACAACAAGAAAAACTAATACAAAGATATGTAGACACAAAACAAACTAACAAAAAGCTATGTAGACAACAAGACGAACAAGCAAAGGATATGTAAACAACAAGACAAAGCAGCAAAAAATCTGTTGACAACAAGACAACCAGCAGAATGATCTGTAGACAACAAGACAAACCAGTAGAAAGATCTATAGACAACAAGACAAACAATCAGAAAGATATGTAGAGAACAAGACAAACAAGCAGACAGATTTGTAGATAACAAGACAAAATAACTAGCAGAAAGATCTGTAGATAACAAAGCAAACCAACAGAAAGATCTTTACACAACAAGACAAACCAGCAAAAAGATCTGTAGACAAGAAGACACACCAGTAGAAAGATCTATACCGAACAAGACAAACGAGCAGAAAGATCTGGAGACAACAAGACACAATAACAAAAAGATCGGTAGACAAGAAGACAAACTAGTAGAAAGATCGGTAAACAAAAATATCGGTAGACAAGAAGACAAACTAGTAGAAAGATCGGTAAACAACAAGACAAACCAGCAGAAAGATCTGTAGACAACAAGACACACTGTCTTACGAACAGAAATATCTGTAGACACCAATTAACCCAGCAGAAGATATGCAGACAAAAAACCAGCAGAGAGATCTGTGGACAAGACATACCAATTCAAAAAACTTTAGACAACAAGACAAACGAGCTAACAAATCGGTAGACAACAAGACAAACCAGCAGAAAGATCTGTAGACAACAAGACAAACAGGTGGAAAGATCAGTAGACAACAAGACAAACCAGCAGAAAGATCTGTAGATAACAAGTCAAACCAGCAAAAGTTCAGTAGACAATACGACAAACCAGCAGAAAGATCTGTAGACAACAAGACAAACAGGTAGAAAGATCAGTAGACAACAAGACAAACCAGCAGAAAGATCTGTAGATAACAATTCAAGCCAGCAAAAGTTCAGTAGACAATACGACAAACCAGCAGAAAGATCTGTAGACAATAAGACAAACCAGCAAATGATATGTAGACAACACGACAAACCAGCAGAAAGATCTGTAGACAACAAGACAAACCAGCAGAAAAATCTGTAGGCAACAAGACAAACCAGCAGAAAGATCTGTAGACAACACGACAAACCAGCAGAAAGATCTGTAGACAATTAGAGAAACCAGCAAAAGATATGTAGACAACAAGACAAACCAGCCAAAGATCTGTAGACAACAAGACAAGCCAGCAAAAGATATTTAGACAACAAGACAAACCAGCCAAAGATCTGTAGACAACAAGACAAGCCAGCAAAAGATATTTAGACAACAAGACAAACCAGCAAAAGATCTGCAGACAAGAAGACACACCAGCAGAAAGATTTATAGAGAACAAGACAAACCAGCAGAGAGTTCTGTAGACTACAAGACAAACTAATATATAAATCTGCAGACAACAAGATAAACTAGCTAACAAATCGGTAGACAACAAGACAAACCAGCAGAAAGATCCGTAGACAACAAGAGAAACAGGTAGAAAGATCTGTAGAGAACAAGACAAACCAGCAGAAAGATTTGTAGACAACAAGACAAACCAGCAAAAGTTCAGTAGCCAATACGACAAACCAGCAGAAAGATCTGTAGACAATAAGATAAACCAGCAAAAGATATGTAGACAACATTACAAACCAACAGAAATATCTGTAGACAACAAGACAAGCTAAAAAAGATCTATAGACAACAAGACAGACTAGCATAAAGATCAGTAGACATCAAAACAAGAAGAAAGATCTGTAGACACCAAGAAAAATTATCAAACAGATTTTTTGACAACAAGAAAAACTAATGCAAAGATTTGTAGACACAAAACAAACTAACATAAAGATTTGTAGACAACAAGACGAACCAGCAAAAGATATGAAGACAACAAGACAAACCAGCAAAAGATCTGTAGACAACAAGACAAACCAGCAGAAAGATCTGTAGACAACAAGACAAACCAGCAGAAAGATCTGTAGACAAGAAGACACACCAGCAGAAAGATCTGTAGACAACAAGACAAACCAATATAAAGATCTGTAGACAACAAGTCAAACCAGCAGAAAGATCTGTAGACAAGAAGACAAACCAGCAAACGATCTGTAGACAACAAGCCATACCAGCAGAAAGATCTGTAGAGAACAAGACAAAACAGCAGAAAGATCTGTAGATAACAAGACAAAATAACCTAATGTTCTGTAGACAAGATAAACTAAAAAAAAAAAAAAAAGTCGAACCAGCAGAAACAACATTAGACTATAAGACTTACAAGTCTTGCCAGAATTCGCATAATCCCTAGTGTGTGTGTGTTTGTGTGTGTGTGTGTGTGTGTGTGTGTGTGTGTGTGTGTGTTAAACAGGTCTCTCTGTTCGCCGTCTACGGCATGCACTTTAAACAATGACATTTACTGCCTGAGAATGGTACCAAAGTACTAACTAGTTGGAACGCCCTACAGTTAGCCACTCAACAGAGGAATAATGGGGCTCGGGGAGGGGTGTGTGTCAATGAAACTTAGTTTGACTGCTGATGGCAAGTACACGTATTAGCGTATTACCGAAAAATTATCATCCTCATCATAATCAACTTCTCCCTCTAAGTATCGCAGGGAAAAAACAATTTGTGATCTAGGCAAATTTACGTTCACTAGTTTGCCATTGCTTACCGAACAGCCAGCTTTAATTACCATAGTCACAATCAACGTAAAGTGGTCTGTTGCTAAATACACCTAAGCCACAGACGACGAGGTATAAGGCCAGCGAAATCGTTTGGTCTGGTCAAGTTGTCATTGTTCTATAGAGCCAGAACTACCCAAGATGTTGCGGTCATTGTTCTATAGAGCTAGAGCTACCTCAATTGTTGCGGTCATTGTTTTATAGAGCCAGAACTACCCAAGGTGTTGCGGCCATTGTTCTATAGAGCTAGAACTACCTAAATTGTTGCGGTCATTGTTCTATAGAGCTAGAGCTACCTCAATTGTTGCGGTCATTGTTTTATAGAGCCAGAACTACCCAAGGTGTTGCGGCCATTGTTCTATAGAGCTAGAACTACCTAAATTGTTGCTGTCATTGTTCTATAGAGCTAGAGCTACCTAAATTGTTGCGGTCAATGTTCTATAGTGCCAGAGCTACCTAAGTTGTTGTGGTCAATGTTCTATAGAGCCAGAGCTACCTAAGATGTTGTGGTCAATGTTCTATAGAGCTAGAGCTACCTAAATTGTTGCGGTCAATGTTCTATAGAGCTAGAGATACCTAAATTGTTGCGGTCAATGTTCTACAGAGCTAGAGCTACCCAAGGTGTTGCTGCAATGTTCTATAGAGCCAGCATTACCCAAGGTGTTGCGGTCATTGTTCTATAGAGCTAGACCTACCCAAGGTGAAGCAGTCAATGTTCTATAGAGCCAGAGCTACATAAGATGTTGTGGTCAATGTTCTGTAGAGCAAGAGCTACCTAAATTGTTGCGGTCAATATTCTATAGAGCCAGCACTACCCAAGTTGTAGCGGTCATTGTTCTATAGAGCTAGAACAACCAAATGTGTTGCAGTCAATTTTCTATAGAGCAAGAAGTATCCAAGGTGTTGCGGTCAATGTTCTATAGAGCCAGCACTACCCAAGGTGTTGCGATAAATGTTCTATAGAGCCAGAGCTATCTAAGATGTTGCGGTCAATGTTCTATAGAGCTAGAGCTACCCAAGGTGTTGCGATAAATGTTCTATAGAGCCAGAGCTAACTAAGATGTTGTGGTCAATGTTCTATAGAGATAGAGCTACCAAATGTGTTGCGGTCAATGTTCTATAGAGCTAGAGCTACTCAAGGTGTTGCAGTCAATATTCTATAAAGCCAGCACTACCCAAGGTGTTGTGGTCAATGTTCTATAGAGCTAGACCTACCTAAATTGTTGCGGTCAATGTTCTATAGAGCTAGAGATATCTAAATTGTTGCGGTCAATGTTCTACAGAGCTAGAGCTACCCAAGGTGTTGCAGTCAA